TTAGCAGGAAGCTATATCTGAATCAGAGCAGCCAGGACTCCAGCCAGCCACTCCAGGATGGGATGTTGGCATCCAGAGCACCAACTTAACCTGCTGTGCCACAAAACCTGTTCCCCCTCATACTTAACGTCCCATGTAGATTAATAAAAGGATCGATACTATGGTAACACTAATCAAATTAGGAGCAGCTGCGTTAATTTCAGATGGAACTGAGATCAAAAAAAATAATAGAGATAAAGGGACAGAAATTTACACTCCAAGGAGACAAGATGCATACCCACAATCCTCAGTGGGGATGCATCTAACAACAGTGTCAAATTCCTGGGGCAAAGACTGAGCAACTGCAAGCAGAAGTAGATGAATCTGCTATTACTTATGGGGTTGACCTTGCAGGAGGGGAGAGGAATCAGAGGACTGACAGCACCTGACATCGATGACTTTGGCTTCGAGTTGATTCAAAAGGCTGAAGTAGCACAATGTCAACACTGTCAATCTCTTAAGCTCTGTATAAAAGTCCTCTTTAATTCTGCCTATTCTCCTCCCTCAGAGAAAAGCTATTCAGTGCTGAGACAAGTACCTCCGTACTGCACTTGATCTGACCATCCCTTCAGGCCATGGCTCTTACTACTTTCCACCACTGACGCTGGTATTCCACACGGCTTGTCACTCCAAGGCTCATCCATTTGCTAACCCTCTGCATTCGATGCTTCTTCCCTCACTCCTCTATACCTCAAACCAGGGTTTCTCACAGCTGGGTGGACATAACACCATCGGGAAGAGCTAAACCATGGTTCCCACTGTCAGCATTTCTGCTTCGGTACATCTGGTTGGAACCCCAGAATGTGCATTTCTTCAAGTTCTCAAGTGATCTAGATGATGCCAGCGCAGGGACCACACTTTGAGAGGCACTACTCTTGAGAATGACCAAAACCCACTTACTAGAACAATCTACTATGAATTTTCTAAGTCTTTTACTTCCTTCATTGTTTGTTTTCAAAATCTGTAATTTCCAACACTATGCTCCAATCTTGACTCCCTTTACTTCCTTTAGGCATCCCCCAACCTGATTGAACCAATAGCTGCTTTTTGTGCACGCCCCATGCCTCCTGTTAGGTCTGCTGCCTGGAGCACCCTTCACTAGTTCAAGTGCACGGTTCAGACATTGAAGCCTCATTCTAAATGTCACTTCCTGTATAGAGCCTTCCCTGAGTAGCCCAACTCCCTGCCAACTGATACCAACCACTTCCTTTTCTGAATTCCTATGGCATTTGCTTGTTGATCTCTTATTCAAGGGCATATCAAGGAGTTTTTTTTTCCTAGAACTTATACAGTTTAAGAGTTGGCTCTTTGAAGAATAGGTACAACAGGGTTATATACACAAATCAGTACAGACCTGAGGGTAGGACTCACACAAGTGAAGTTCATGGAAACATTAGCTTTGTTAGTTAGCGTCACCGGAAGCCTGCCTGGCGTCTTTGGATCTCACGTTCTCCCTATTAGAGTGTCATTTCCTGATGCAGACACTTGGTCTTGTTTTTGTCTCTCAGTTTCTCTACCTGTCCCCCTCTCTGCCTGTCTCTGTTATTGTACACCTGACTGACATCACCTGACAGGACCAAGGCTTGATATAAAGGTAGATATAGTAAGTAAGACAGTATAGTGTGGGCAAAAAAAAAAAATGACAAATAGATCAAGAGAACAAAATACAGATTCCAGAAATATGCCCACATATATTTCATCAGTTGATCTTCAACAAAAGAGCAAAGTCAATGCAATGGTGTAAAGATAATCTTTTCAACAATGGTTCCAAAATAACTGAACATCCACATGTCAAACAATAAATATAGACACAGACATATATTCTTCCCAAAAGTTAACTCAAAAATGGAGCATAGTTCTAGTTGTAAAATTCAAGACTAAAATTCCCACAAGGTATCATAAGAGAAAGTGCTAGATGACTTTGAGTATGACAGTGACCTTTTAGGTAAAATGCCAAAGGCAAAAATCCATAAAAGAAATAATTATTAAGCTAGATATCATTAAAATGAAAACTGTTGCTCTAAGAAAAAAAGAATGAAATGTTATGGACTGGGAGAAAACATTCACAAAACACATACCTGATAAAGGACTATTATCCAAAATATACAAAGAACTCTTAAAATTCAACAATAAGAAACAAATGACCCAATGAAACAATTGGCCAAAGACTTTAAAAGACATCTCACCCAGGCAGACAGACAGCTGGCAAACAAGCATGTGGAAAGCTGCTCTCCCTCAAGTGTCATCAGGGAAATGCAAATTCAACAAGACTCCACTTGTATTAGTCAGTGTCTCATTACTTTAACTAAAATACCCGAGAGCAGCTTCTCAGAAGGAAAAGGTTTATTTCAGCAGACAGTTGGCAGTGTCACATTTCACTGTCCTGTGGTGCTGAGGCTGGCAAAGGCAGAGAGGGTATAGAGGAACTAGCAAACGCAAGCCAGGAAGCAGAGAGGGAATGAGATGTAACTCTGCTTAAGTAACTAAGCCTCTCAGAGAACGACCTTCTGAGGGCAAGCACCTAATGATCTTCCACCTGCCACTGGGCCCACCTCTTAGCTGCTCTAACTAGATGGAGTCTCCAGCTTGATCCATCACCAATTACCATTAACTCTTCAACCCTTGACATAAGACTTTGGAATTTAAATGTCTGCATGAGCTTGGGGAACCACGTTCCATTCAGCGCATAACACAACTATATACCTAGTAGAAGGGCCCAACTCCAAATCACTGGAAATACTGAATGCTGGCAGAGTTACAGAGCTACAGGAACTCTTATTCATTAATGATAAGAATACAAAATGGTACAGCTACATTAAAAGTATGGCATTTTCTTTCTTCCTTTTTTTTTAAAGTTAAAAGCAAGATGGTATTTTCTTACAAAACCAAATGCATTTTTTGTTAAAAAAATGTATTTATTTATTTGAAAGGTAGAGTTATGGGGTGGGGGGAAGAAATCTTCCATCGGCCAGGTCACTTCCCAGATGGCCACAACAGGCAGGGCTGGGCCAATCTGAAGCTGGGAGCCAAGAGCTTCTTCCAGGTCTTCCACATTTGTGCAGGGATCCAAAGACTTGGACCATCTTCCACGGCTTTCCCAGGTGCATTACTAGAGAGCTGGATCAGAAGTGGAGCACTCTGGACTCAAACCAGCACCCATATGGGATGCTGGCATTGCAGATGGTGGCTTGACAGCGCCCCTATAATATTCTTGAAAAGGCAAAACTATGGAACAGTGAAAAGATCAGTAAGTAGTTCCTAGGAGTTCGGGGAAAGGGAAGGATGAATAGCACAGGGGAATTTTAGGGCAGTGAAACCATTCTGTGTGATTCTGTGATGGTGACTACATTTCCTCATACACTTGTAAAATCCCATCAAAAGTTTACCAAGAACAAGCCCTAATGAGAACTAGTTTTGTCATTGTTTTGTGATAATTCTGTGTCAATGTAGGTTCATCAATGATGGCAAATGCACCATTCTGTTGCAGAATGCTGACAGAAGGGAAGTTTATGCATGGGTGCAGATAAGGGATATATGAGAATAGACTTATTCCTCAACTTTTCTGGGAATTTAAAACTACCCTAAAAATAAACTTCAGTAACTCAAAAAGAATAATTAGAATAGAGAATGCTTAGAGACTACCCTCTTGGGTTTGTGAAAACAAACATCTCCCAAGAAGAAAACTTGGGGCTGGATGGAGAGCCAGGCACACGGCAGCACCTGTGTTCTTCTTGAAGAAGCTAAGTAAGAAAGCTAAGTAAGAAAGGATCAAAGAAGTCTCATCAGTTGAAAAACAGCACTCTGGACAAAGAAAAACTAATCAATTTCCTTTTTTAAAGACTTATTTATTTGAAAGGCAATGTTACAGAGAGAGAGAGAGAGAGAGAATCTTTCATCTGCCGGTTCACTCTCCAAATGGCCACAATGGCCAGAGCAGGCCTATGGGAAGCCGGGAGCCTGGAGCTTCTTCTGGATCTCCTACATGAGTGCAGTGGTCCAAAGACCTGGGCCATTTTCTGCTGCTTTCCCAGGCACCTTACCAGGGAGCTGGATCAGAAGTGGAGCAGCTGGGACTCAAACTGGCACCCATATGGGATGACAGCACTGCAGACGGTGTAACCCACTGTGCCTTAGTGCTGGCCTCAAACTACTCAATTTCTAACATAGAAATAGTATTTCCCTTGATGAAGTTTTTTTCTCCCTTCCTTATCAAGAGCTATCTAGTAGTTACCATTATTTGAATAAGTTTTAAAAGAAATACATGGACATTTATGGATTCTAAATATTTTGTGCTCTATACAACAAAAATGGCCTTGAAAGTGATACAGGGATATGAAGTGTTACTTGCACATCTCTGTTCCTAGAAGCATTATCCAAAAGGTGGAAGCAACTCAAGTGTTCATTGATGGATAAATGGATGGCAAAATGTAATATATACACACAGAGATTATTATCCAGCCTTACAAAGGAAGAAAATTCTGATCCATGCTATAACACTGACAAACCTTTAAAAATATTATTCTGAGTGGAATAATCACAAAAGAACAAACACTGCAGGATTCCACTCCTATGAAGTATTTAAAATAGTTGAATTTGTAGAGACAAAAATTAGAACAGTAGTTGCCAGGGATTGGGGGTAGAAGGCAATGGGGAGTTGCTGTTTAATGCATAAGGAGTTTCAGCTTTGCAAAATGAAAAACGTTCTATGAATGGATTATGTTGATGGCTGCACAGCAACATGAATATATGAAATGCCACCGAACTGAATTTTAAAATGGTAAATGTTATTGTGTATGTTTTACCAAATTCAAAAGGATAACTTTAAAATTTGTGTCTCATTTCATCTGAGATTATCAAAAGGCTACGTGCAAAAGAAAGATTTTTGTTTTATGTTCCATGAAGCCTAGAGACTGGAGTAAAAGACTGAGGTGGTGGGATGAATGAACACATCTGGAAACAGCTAAGTTTCACACAAATGTATGGATTTATTGACATGTGTTATTTTCTTACAGTAATAAATACAATGCGATCTTTTTCAGGGTTAGCTTGAAGTAGGAATGGCAGTGTGTCCTTGGTAGGAGCAGTCGGACTTATGGTACCGTCTTCTTCAGAACTACATCTAAGAGACAACCTGAGTTCTGGGCAAGAGCCACATAGGTGTGTGCAACATCAGCCCTGATGTTTCTCTTGACACAGTAAAAGTGAGTCATGGCCTGGGCCATATTACCCTAGGTTCTTCTCACCCAAACTTGACATAATATATCATAAAAATATCTAAAGGCATAAAAAGTCAACATTGCAAATATAAAATTCTTTCATACAAATATAATTCATAATATGATCATTCTTAAAACACAGCATTGTTATGTAAGAGTTTGAAACATTATCAAAATAAATATTTCCTAGAGAAAATTTTATTTGCATCACAGAATTATAAAAAAGCATATAAAACTAATTCATGATTGGCTCTTCTTTGGGGTGTCTCCCATTCCCTCTCTCCTTCAGAGCAGACAGTATGAAGCATGTATAGTTAGCCTGAAGACACACCACCATCACCATTTAGATCTAGATGCTCATGTTTCCTTGTGTCCACTATAGCACCCATGGCCTATCTACCCATGCACTTTCTACTGGGAGCTTCTCAGGGAAGAAGGGCTTCCCTGTGACAGTTCGCACAACACACTTCTCCAGCCATCTTCTGGTCCTTATGTCTTATGAGCTTGTTACATCCTGGAGGTAAGGGAAAGTCCTGTCAATTTCAGCATCAAGAGAGCTGCTCTGTGTATTCTGATTATCTGACTTGGCTAGATTTTTGGTAAAGCTGGATGGTACTAACCCTAATCTGCACAATCGGAAGTTCTCTTTCCTAACCACATGTTGAATGGGACACTTATACACTCCTCCAAATGCCTGCAGTGGCTAAGACTGGACTGGGCTGAAACTGGAAACCTGTAACTCAATCCAGGTCTCCCATGTGGGTGGCAGGAACACAATCACTTGAGCCATCACCTCTGTCTCCCAGGGTTTGCATTAACAGGAAACTAAACTCGGGAACCAGAGCTGAGTACTGAAGTCCAATATGAGATGCAGCCATCTTCACCTGCATCTTAACTTCCAGGCTAAATGGAATGGGGCTTTTATTGATGTGCTGCTTTTTGACTCTTACAGTATTCTAACCCTTCCTTAGAAATGAGAGCCAGAATTATTGGCGGACAATGTACAGTCATGCGCCACCTAAAGACAGGGACATATTTTGAGCAATGAGTCATTAGATAATTTTGTTGCTGTATGAATATCCTAGATTATTACTGCACACCCACGCTATGTGTTACACAATTGTAGATATAGTCCATTGTTGACAGAAACATCACCATGCAGTGCATGACTGTAGTTGTGTTTCTAAATATCTTGAAGAGAGGAGAGAAAGGGGGATATAAATTTATATGAACCACTCAAGTTTCCAGTTACCATTACTTAATCATTCCTCTAAGAAGCATGATTTCAGTTCTTCAATAAGACAAATGAACAATTTTCACTAAACAGTAAGCTGAACATCTAACCTGGCTGAATTTTATAGCTGCCTTTCCAACTACTATCAAAGGGCAAAGAAAAACCCCAGGTGTTAATCTTCAAGGATTTGAAGTACCTCTCACATGATTTGACCATGGCCAGGAAGCCATCTATGCAGATCATAAGAATGTCCTCAACTCTTTGTTCCAAAATGTTTGCTTAAAAAAAAAAAAACATTATTTCTCCTTGTTTTCTGAGGCAGAGGCAACTGTTTCTCCCCCAACTCCATGAGGGAATGTCCCATGCAAACATTTGCACTGGCTCTCTAGAGCCTTGTTTCTTGCACTTCTTCTTCTGCCTCCTCCTTCAGAGCAGTGATCTGGGGCCGAGACTTGTGCTTGCTTGAGTTCCTGTGGGGGAAGAGCTTTGCCCTGTCCGAGGAGCTGATGGCCTGCCGGAAGAGGCTCTTCTCACTCAGCAATTTCTGGATGGATTCGTACTGCCGCACTGTGTTCTCTTCTATGACCTAGGGAAGTGGCCATTAGTGAGATCTCCCACAGAAGACAGGTCAAGCCAGAGTAGGGACAGAAACTGGCACAGGCTCAGAGGTAATTGCAAGGAGGAATGATTCATGTGAGCTCCCTTAAATGGTGTGAGTCCACAACACCATAAAGAGCTGCATCTCTTCAACAGTGGACCTGAAGCTTCATTATTCCAAATTGGTCAGGAGGTACCTGACTTTATTATGCTTCCTTCCTGCGTTAAAGTAGAGCAAACCCAAGGCCAGAGGAGAGAGGACTTCAATCACTTCTTGAACTTGCCCACAGGAGGCACAGAAGTTGTGTGTCTGCCCCCTAATTTGTCTCTTCCAGCTCTCAGTAATAATAATGATAATAACCATCCTGTTATCCTTTGCCACCTGTAGGCTCAAAATCCCAAGAGAAATGACATGATACATCACCCTCAGAACTTCCTCCTGTGACAGTTTTGAAAACACAATGAGAAGATGACTGAGAGAGGCAATAACCTGAGAGCCAAATGATGACTGGAAAAATGAAATCAAAGCCCCTCAACTACTACATTAGAACCGCAACTCAGATGTAAGATAACTAGGCCTGTCTTGGGCCACATCCAAGGAACATTTAGTCACTGATAGAATAAGAATACCTTTTTTATCCAAGATAGGACAGTCTTTTTTCATGACTTAGTTTCCAAATAAAGGGATCAGAAAGTGTAAACATCAATTTATAAAGTAACTTAGTAATATGCTGCTATTTTAGTTTACTGGATTTCAAGCTCACTTCACAGCTCAGACGAAAGTAAAAAGCTTGTGCAGCTATTTTGAGTAGAGCTGGATGGTTACATAGCTCATTTTAATGAATAAATCTGTACATTGCTGCAATTTACAGGGATTATCGCATATGAGATTGTTTTCAAGAATTACAGGAAAATGAGAGCTTAAGTAAATGTATAAAGACTCACCAGAAATCGTTGGCATTCCAACATTGCCTCTATCCTGTGTTCACAGAGGATTACTGTGCAATCAGCAAATGCTTGTTTCAGAGTTCTCCGAATTATTTGGTATGTTCTAAAAAAGAAAGAAATTACACATATAACATCGCAGAAATGGATAACCTGCCTTTCTCCTTGCTAACAGGCCTATTGTTCTATCAACATATTTCTTTAAATTGCATCTCTATTTACATACTTTTTTTAAAAAAAAAGATTTTATTTATTTCTTTGAGAGGTAGAGTTGCAGACAGAGAGAGGGAGTGAGAATAAGGTCTTCCATTTCCTGGTTCACTTCCCAAATGGCCACAACAGCTGGAGCTGCACCAATATGAAGTTAGGAGCCAAGCTTCTTCCAGGTCTCCCACACGGACACAGGGGCCCAAACACTTGGGCCATTTTCTACTGCTTTCCTAGGCCATGGCAGAGAGCTGGATCAGAAGAGAAGCAGGAGGGATATGAACTGGTGCCCATATGGGATGCTGGCACCATAGGCAGAAGCTTAGACTACCATGCAACAGCACTGGCCCCTCTATTTACATACTTTTAAAATAATATTGTTTTAGAGTTAGCCACAATCTTTGGGGTAGATTCTAGGTACCCATAAAGAGGTCAAACATTTTCAAGAAAATTTCATAAACAAGTACATTTTCATAAAGAATCACCAGTAGTTCTTCATTTTATATTATAAGTATGTTTATGGTATAAATGAGACATAAAGGAAAGTCATAAGGATCAGATTATGCCAATGTAATTCTTTTATCATGTGTTGACAAGGGGGAGGAATTTGTATGAAATTCCAAACTACACTCAAAAGGGTACACAGGGCTTTTATACAAATAAATGAGTATTTGTGTTCAAGTAGTGACTTTTTCACTGGGCAGTTATTCATATCTGCAGAATCTCCCATTGTAGACATGACAGCCTAATGGGAATTTTTGTCAATATGAAGTAGGTTTCAATGTTTCTGCTCCCACTATGCTTTTATGCTATTATTCAGAATTTCTGAAACTCACATAGGATCCAGATGAGCACTGGGTTCATCAAGCAGCAAGATCTTTGCCTTACTGAGAACAGATCTGGCCAAGCACATCAACTGCTTATGGCCATGGCTGAGGACATAGCCCCCATCCACAAGGACAAAATCAAGCTTCCCAGGAAATTGTTCTATTACAGATCTGAGTCCAACCTGCAGAAAAAAAGAGGGAAAACATATGCTTAGAGAGGGTAGTTCAAATACCTCAGGGATAAAATCACTCAAGAAGTTGACATTCTAAAAATAAACATGAGAGTTCTGGAAGCTTAAATTTTATATCTACCCCCATCCCAACTCCCACTATTCGAGTTTGATTGAGCAAAAGTCTATTTAAATCTTGGCAAGTCTAAAGGATCAGCCTATGACTTATTTCAGCTCTGTGCTTCAAATATCCATGAAACATTCAATGAGTATCTATTATATGCCAAGTACCCTGATAATGGTATGTAGCTTCTGCAATGTTCAGTGTTTATAAAGGTCTACACAAATAATTCCAACACAATTGAATACATGCTGGAAAAGATAAAATTATAGAATGCAATTATTCACTCTATCATGACAACTTATATAGATAGGATAGAAGGTAGCAAAAAGAGGAAAGGAAGGTTTGATATGCATGATTTCATCCATCCTCATGCTACCTTCCATCCCTACTTTACCATAACAGCAGACAAAAGCACAGAAGAATCAACAAGGAGGTTTTAAAATTTATATACAGCAATTCACAACTCATCTCTTCGTTTCCTAGATTCTGATTGTAAGAAATTAATAAGGCTATGAGTTAAAAAAAAAAACTAGAATTAAAACAGTGGTATATTAGTAGTAGATTCAAAGGCTCTTGGACATGAAGATTGTGTTAGTCAATGTTTTTTTTTTTAAAATAGTAAAATAATGGTAAAAAATAATATTTTTATAAAATAGTAAAAAAAGTTTAAAAAAGCAAATGAGATAAAGATAGTCATTCTATCAAAATAAGACCAACATTATTAAGTGTTGGCTCTCATCATGTATTTAAATGTATTTAAGTAAATATGGGCCGGCGCTGCGGCTCACTAGGCTAATCCTCCACCTTGCAGCGCCGGCATACCGGGTTGTAGTCCCGGTCGGGGCGCCGGATTCTGTCCCGGTTGCCCCTCTTCCAGGCCAGCTCTCTGCTGTGGCCAGGGAGTGCAGTGCAGGATGGCCCAAGTCCTTGGGCCCTGCACCCCATGGGAGACCAGGATAAGTACCTGGCTCCTGCCATCGGATCAGCGCGGTGTGCCGGCCGCAGCGTGCTGGCCGCAGTGGCCATTGGAGGGTGAACCAACGGCAAAGGAAGACCTTTCTCTCTGTCTCTCTCTCTCACTGTCCACTCTGTCAAAAAAAAAAAAAAGTAAATATGCACTAAATGTTTAGTCTTCGCCAAGTACTTCTGAGTAAATGAGGACCAAAGAGATAAACAGACGATTGTCTCCTGTCCTTCAGAAATCTGAAATTTCATATGGGTAGAGAGCATATGTTTTCACCTAGCTCTAATCTAGGCAGAATGAGATGATGGCCTTCATAGATAAATTCAGAATGACCCATATCACTGTGTTTCCCAGCAAAAATTCACTCTATGGCATCATGTATATTGCGGATCTGTGTTCCTGAACTGATTTCTCATTAAAACAATAGTACTTTGTGAGAATTCTTTAAAGTTTGAAAAGTGTTTCTGAGATGAAAGAGCATGTAAGAATATTCATTAGACAAGGGGCACTACTCTGCTGTATTCTCAAAAATTCAAACATAAAACTACTTTGGGACACAAAACCCAAGAATGTGAAGAAAGGATCTTGTCAAGGAGTTAGAGGATGTGTGTCATTCTTTCCGTCTTCACACCATCGGTTTTTATTATTTCAGTCCATGAGTCCACCACAGACTCTCCCTTCTTGAATCAAAAACAAACCCCTTCCTTGCTGCAGGTTCTCTTCAGCTACCACTCAACATCTGCCCACTTTGTCATCTAGAAATCTCAAAAGATTAGTGTACACCTGTTGTCTTTACTGCCTCATACCACAGAACGTGTTTTCATCCTAAAACATCTATTTCTTCTTAGGAGAAGCCATTCACTCCACGGCCTTTTCTTCCTATTACCATGTAGCAGTTTTCTCCCTCCTCCTGTCCCTTGAATTTAGTTTCCGTCACCCCCAACTCTCCAAACTCTCCCTCAGAGAACTGTCATGTTCAGGGTATCAGTGACCAGCAATAAGTTAATGATTTTCAAATCTTTATCTCCAGCCCTGGATCTTTCCAGGTACTACTTAAATCCTTCTCCTCCTTGCTAACCCCATGATAGTGACCCTACTCTGAGCCATCATCATCTCTTAAGCAGCTCACTCGAAGCCCCAATGAGTTGAATCCTCCATTTGTGACACAAACACCTAGAGATCTGCCTGAAATGCTAGTCTAACCACATCGTTTCTCAGTTTTAAATTCTACAGTAGGGGCTGGTGTTCTGGTGCCAGCCATGGTTTAAGTCATTGTCTGTGACACTGGCACCCCGTGTGGGCACTGTTTGAGTCCCAGCTTCTCCACTTCTGATCCACCTCCCTGCTCATATGCCTGGGTGGGTGGGTGAGGGGGCAGCAGAGGATGGCCCAAGTCCTTGGGCCCCTGCACCCATGTGGAAGACCTGGGTGGAGTTCCAGGTCCCCGGCTTCAGCTTGGCCCAGCCTTGATCATTGCAGACATCTCTCATTTTCTGTCTCCCTCTCTCTCTGTAACTCTGCCTTTCAAGTAAATAAAATAAATCTTTTAAAAAATTTCTGTAGTGGTTCTCTTCTGGGTGTAATAAAATCTGAACTCTCTCAGAAGACATCTAAGGCATCCAGAATCCAGCCCCCTCCACTCGTATTCCCAGCACCAAATAGCCAGTAGTTCCCTGAGCACCTTGACACTCTCAGGTTTGTGCCTTCTGAATATCCCTGATCATCTCTTAGGGCATCCAGGCACCCAGTCATGGTAGTATTTGTGCAATTCCCTCTGTTAGACTGTGAGTTTCTTGATGGTAAGACGTGCTCCTCAGCTCTGTGTCCTTTGTGCCCATTCTGTCCACTTTGTCAGCCTCAGCACTCTTATTCATGCAGGACTCTACCAGTGTTAGGAAACTTCTAACTTTATGAGTTGATTTTTAGGGAAGACTTAACGAATCACAAGTCAAATGATATGTCTTAAATCACCCTCTATAATGGAGAGCTAAAACCAGGACTCACTCATCCACCCTTAAGTTTTAATTCATATTTCATTCAGTTATCATTCATTCAAATTCTGTTATATTTGGCCACTATTCATCTAGGAATTCATTATTCTTTAAATACATATATCAGTATAATCTTATTAGTACTATAATCACATTATTTTTCAATAGATAAAAATATAAAATTTAGTTCAGTTCTATCAAAACTAATAATTTTCATTCCTACCTATCATTAAAAATAAGTAGATTAAATAATCAAATCAAATGCAAAGCACTTTGGATCATAGGGATTTGCCAGCTTTATGCTGTTGAGTTAATAAATTGTATGTACTTCCCAAGCTGTTACTCTGAAAGGAGAAATTTTGCTTTGTGACACATAAAACTAAGCAATGTCTAGCAGTCTATAGAGGACTGGTCACTTTATACAGAATGTTGATTTTTGCTATTTCTGCACTCTGGAATGTTATGGAGTAAGAGTTTGCTCTTGTGACAGGGACACATGAAAAAAAATCCAAAAAGTGAACTGTGGTTTAACTGAATAGTCCATTAGTGGGCAGTTATAACAACAGATACTGCCAACTCCTTTTGAGATTCCTTTTGCCACTCTCCAGGTTTACCAGGGCACATTTTCAACTTCAAAGGGCACTCTTTCTGCTATTTAACTTGTTCTCTAAAACAACTTGCTTAACCATCAATAAAGATAGACAGTATTTATAAGCAATTTAAAAAAGCAAGCATTTACCAAATGGGCATTTATTCTAAAACAAATAGTCCTAGGATTTAGATCGTGGACAATGCTGCGACAGGTCACTGGGATAAGCCAGGCTGTAAGGCAGGGGTCAGGGGATTTCTTGGAGCCACGAAGTCCCCAACCAAGGTCCTCAGACCTCTCAAGGCTCAGTATACTCCCTGATAAAATAGGATGGTGGTAATACCTGCTCTGTGTCAATCTCAAGGCCATTTTATATTTTTAATATTTTTATGTGTATTTATAATTTGATAGTATGCAATGAAAGGACCCTTCATTCATTCACTTAGTCAGTGTTTGTTGAACACTGTCCATGTGTACCACACTACTCTAAGCACTGGAAATACGACAGTGAATGGGACATGACCTCTAACTTACAGGAACTTGCAATTCAGTGGGGGACATGGACAAGTTAGGAGGCAAATCTCCATCCAATATGAAGAAAGGCATAAAAGAGCTGAGGGTAAGAGATACAAGTCAGACACCAGGAGCCTCGGGCACATATATGAGAAGTGCTGGGTGAGAAGGACCTGAATGATGACTAGGACCTAGCATGAAGGGCTTAGAGTGGTTCCCAAGCACAGAGAACAGCATGTGGAAAAGCCTCTGGTGTCTTAGAGAAACCAAAGAAACAGTACAGCTGATCATAGGAAGTGGAAAGGTAGGTATATTAGTCAGCTTTCCATTACTACCACAAAACACCTGATATAGGCCTGTAATGAAGTAAAGAGGTTTATTTTGATTTAGAGTTCTGGAGGCTCAAGTTCAAGACTGGTTGGACATCTGGTGAGGCCAGAGGACAACAACAGCAGAGCATGTGCCGAAGAACCACAGGGTGAGCCAGGAAGCAGGCGCGGGAAAGCTGGGCCCAACTGGGCTTTTATAATTATCCTTCTTGTGAGAACTACCTTCTGAGGGCACACCCTCAATGACCTAAGGGCCTGCCACTAGCCATATCCCGTAAACGTCACAGTGGATTGGATTAAGTGTCCACTTTCCAGTACCAATCACATGATTTGGTGGTTTAAACATCTTCATGAGTTCAGGAGCTAAGTCCCATTTAAACTATAACTTTTAGGGAGTGAGGTTAGAAAGGCAAACAAATACCAAATCATGATCTGTAAGTTACCTTAAACAGTGTGGGTTCTGTCCACCAGGAAGTAAAGAGCTATAGGAAGGGAAGAAGCA